TCTCCTCAGGCATGAAGTTTCTGGTTCCTATGTGCTCTGTGGAGATATATTCTCCCACCACTTTTATTCAGTGAAACTATGTTACACCATCGTATCAGCATGCCATGATATCTTTTGATTTCTTCTTAGAACAAGCAAATCATTTATGTATGAAGTTCTGAGATTCTTCCTCATTAGCTCAAAATAATACAAATAATAATAGTTGGCACCAATGTGACTATCAACGTGAGTGAAAATCAAAATTATAGAGCCAGTATTTAGTTACATGGTTATATAGGTGACCAAATGTATTCTTTTTAAGATCATTATCACATTGAGAAAAAAATTTCTGAATCCTAACAGTGCAGTGACAATTAAGAATACATTATCGGGGCTGGGGATTTAGCTCAGCGGCACAGTGCCTGCCTGGCAAGCGTGAGGTCGCGAGTTCGATTTCCGGTACAGAAAAAAAATAAAAAACAAAAGCAAAAACAAAGAATACATCACAGACATACTGGGGAAGCACTGAATAGGCATTTTGTTTGTTTTTCTAGGATAATATATGGACTATAAACTCAGTCATGGAAGTTTGAATAAAGCTGAGTTGTTGGAACCCAGAAGTCAAATGTGTGGCTTATTCAGCAGAGTTTGAGGAAGTAGTGTAGAGACAGTAAAAGCATTTAGAGGTTACCATAGCAAGAAGTAGGAAGCCCAGTCCCCTGGAAGTTGTAATATGTGGCCTCCAATAACAGTAGGTAAACTCAGCAAAGACTGACCACATTCTGGAAGAAGGCATAAGTGTAAGTGAGCAGGGATCTGGCCAGGTGTCTGGGAAAGAAGACCTTAATTTTACAAATCAGTGCCGTACCATCGTCCCGAAAATGTGTATGAGCCTGGAGTGGATCAGAAACAATGCTCAACTGTTGGGCAGAAACCTAATATTGAGAATTTGGTTAAGCAAAGCAAGATAAGGAATAAAGAATGGGTATGAATATAAGAATACAATGCAGGAAATTACGTCCTGAAAGGCAGTTGTAGAAAGAAGTGGTGGCAAAAGGAATTAATTTTTTAAGGCTAATGATAGTTTTGCATTTAAATTTTAAATTATTTTTAGCTACAGAGTAGATACAAATGATCTCTCCTTATGCCATATTTTGAAAGATTTCCAATTAAACATATTGATCATATATAAGGACATTATCTTTGAAATTAATGTTCAAATTACTGAGAGAGAAATCTTCATTTTTCAAAATTAAGATCGCATGGTTCTATAGAAACAATTCATAGGAAAATGATTTCTAAATTCTTAATAAATCATATTTTTATTCTGGCTTTGGTTTTTGTAGAACTGGGATTGAACCCAGGTCCTTTGCTATGAGTTACACACCCACCCCATTTTTTTTTTTTTTTTTTAATTTTGAGACAGGGTCTCCTTAAGCCATCAAGGTGTCCTAGCTGGGTTCCACTTTGTAATCCTGCTCCATGCGCCCCCCAGAATGCTGGGATTACAGTGTGCTACCAACCCTGGTCCAGAAGAGTTTTGTATCACAGAAATAGACCTTGGCTATTGTAAGAGCTTGCAACACAATTAGAAACTTAGGAGTGCTTACTCATATGCTTAATCTCTTCAAATCATGACAAAAGGCAAAATGGGAACAAGACAAGAGGCCATAATAATTTATCATTAGCTACTGATCTGAATTTATTGCTACAGAAAGATTTGTGCCTTTTCTGAGATAGGAAGTGCTTGCTTTCTCTTCCTCTCTTTATTTTTAGCCAAATTTACCTAAAGAGTCTTTTCTGCATTTTGACAGAAGTAGTTCATTATATCTAATAACTGTAGCTAGAAGTGGATTTCACATGGTGTTGGCTTATTGTTCTGAGCATTAAAGTTAATATAAAGAGTTGACTAGCAGCAGAGGTCACTGGTAGTGGTGTAATGATTATCATTTGATATGATCAGTATTCTAATTTATCAATCATTATAAATGGACCATTAAATTGGAATAAGGAACCACTAACTGGAACAAAAAGAAATGTATAGTCCTTTCCGAAATATATTCCTTTGTTCTAAATCCAAGTACAGAATCTTGCTGAGCATACCTACTTTTGAGGTACATTGTCTCAGGTACAAAGAAACAATAGGGATAAAAGTTGAGCTAAATTCCCCATTTCTGTTTAACTGATACCATTCTTCATGTATTAGATTGAGAGGGTGCTTTCTATCATTACTATGTATGATTAGATGTGACCAAGAATACCAACACATTATATATGAGTAGAAAAGGTATAATATTGTGACAGTGAAATAATTCTTGTGAGAGATTGCTAAGAGAATTTCTCTAAAGTGTATTTTTATAGTGTGATGCCTAAAAAGTGTATTTTTATACTGTGTATGTGTGTACAAAAATACAAATTTTGCCACTGGAGACACAATATGACATTTCACATAAATGATTATCTGTCCCACAGGAAAATTCAGGCAGCTGTTTTCTGTTGCTTGAGGGGGAAGCTGAGCTTCATCTGTAGACAAAAATGTGAACATTTCATCAGACCTATTTTAAGTAAAAATATTGCAAAAAAAACTTATGGCTTTGCACACTCATAAAATTGTCACATCATCTGTGCTCATGAGACTGAGACAGGAGGCTGCAAATTTCAGGCTAGTCTGGATTACCTAACAAGATCTTGTCTATATATGTATTCATTTTACGATCTTTCCTTAGAAACTTCCTTCATATGGCTCAGTAATATTGAAGATGTTTCTATCTAGTAACTCTAATTTTCCAACTCAAAACACAGGATTAAGCTCATGCTGTCCTACCCAAAGGGCTGTTGCATGTTTAACATATGCCTTTTTAAAAATTCTGCAATGAAAAAAAGCCAGAAATTGATTTAGTTTCCACGTAATTCTTAGTAGAATTTGACTGAATATTTTTTTCTAATAGGATTATGTTCAGCCTCAATTCTAACAAATCATTGGCTGATTTCTTCCGGTGTATACAAGTTTTGTAAATTCTGGCTTCTCTTTCTCTCAAGACTTCCAGACTCCCCCAAGTGGATATCTGAGAAATTTAGCCAAGTGCCACTAAATAACGCTGAACTTCATAATGAGATCTAATCAATCCACATCTTTTTTTTTAAAGTCTGAAGCATGATACATAGTGAATTTCTCTTTATACTAAGAAAGGATTTACCATTCTACCACCTATAATTCATGCTATGCTCATATGACTACGGCTTCTCTTACAAAGATATTTTTTCCCTCTTCTCTGTCATGTTTATCTTTCAAAAAGTAAAATCAAGCTGTCAGATTCATTTAAGAACCGCATTATGATAGGTAGGATCGCAGCTGTATAAAATTCTCTATATAAGATTTACAAAATGAACTGAATGGCCATCTTGACCCCCCAAATAAGCAAGACAAACACAGCTTATGCCAAACTGCAGTTTGCTCTGACACAGGGGTATCACAATGTCTGGAATCTGCTTTAACCAATTAAGTCTTTCAAGGCGGAAAGAAAATAAAGCCTTCAGTAAATCCATTGAAGGCACCATCTTCCAGCCTCCCATTGCCTGCTATCGATCCTTTTAAGTGCCGACTAATGAGTCCTATGTGGTAGCAGATCTGTGGCGTGTGTGCCTGACGGGCTGCTCTCTCCCTAGCACCTCAGAGGAGCTAAACTTACACAGAGAATCAACTGGGGGTGGGGGAGCGGGGCGGGAAGACAACCAGGCTGAGGGGGGCCTTGACCCCCTTGCAAATCAGCCAATAGCCAGTCTCCAGGGAGCGCAGCAGACCCACTGCCCACTCTCAGGGCCAAACCCTCATTCCTGGGCAGGAGAGTCCGCGTTCAGGTCTCTGCTAGGAGGGCGAGCGCTTTTGTTCACTCCCACTGTCTAGTGGGAGAAGAAGCACAGAGAAATGCAAAGCAAGCTCATGGCAGCAGCGTCTTCTGCCGCAAAGCAACCCTTCCCGCTTAGCTTTGGCACTGTAGGGAGAACTGGGGTCCCCGGGGGAGGTGGATCGGAAGGATGCCAGGACAGGAGCAGAGACACCGAGAGCCCCTTTCCCCTTCTATCCATTTCCACTCACATCGCCACAACCCCCGCCCCCGCCCCAAACTATCATCGCAGGGCACTTACGATATCGGTAAATGGGTGGTGTAGGGGGTGCATTTCCTTTCCTCGCCTTTCTCTAAGATTCTGAACAGGATACCAGCCTCCGTGTACCCAAAATACATCAAAAACAAATAAAACCGGATAAGCCGAGCCCAGTAGGTAGCAATTATCTGAAGGAGGGGACGCCTCGACCGGCACCTGCCTGGATCCGCTGCATTTGGCAGCGGGTCGGCTTGGGTACTGAATTATTAATTTATTTCTTTCCCCTTCGCCCCCACCCCCTCCCGGACCGCAGAGGCGAAATCGCGGGCTCTTCCGGCGCCCCTCGCCCCCAGCTCGGAGGAGCGTCCCGGGCGGGGCGGCGGGGCGCGGCGGCGG